AAACTTGCAGACCAATTTCCAGGATATTTGCTTAACAACAGTAGCCACAAGAGTGAACAAGATTTTTCTATTTTTAGCTCCTGTGGCCTAGATTTTCATCAGAGATGACCCATGTTCAATCTCCTTCAAACAATTTACTAGACAAGCATCCTGACCAAGTTTGATTACAATTGTAACAAGAGCACCGCTAGGCGAAGCATTATATGCCAGAAAGTGTTTTTTTCTAGTAAGGATGAAGCATTTGTAAGACATTACATCAATTAAATAAAGTATTACCTCCTTCAAATAGCAATCCCCCTATAAAGTTTGAATATTGTGGGCAAAATGGAACTTAAGTTATGCTCTGGAAACTGTTTTAAGTTTTGAGGAAATAGTGACCTTGAACTTTGACCTCATGACCCCAAAATCAATAGGGGTGTTCTACCTAATATAGACAATCATCCTATGAAGTTTGAACACTATGGGGCCAAATAGAAATCAAGTTATGTTCTGAAAAACTGTTTTCAGTTTTAAAGTAATAGTGACCTTGACCTTTGACCTCAAAATCAATACGGGTGTTCTATCCAATATTGACAATCATCCTATGAAGTTTGAATATTGTGTGCCAAATAGACCTTAAGTCATGCTACCGAAACTGTTTTCAGTTTTAAAGTAATAGTGACCTTGACCTTTGGCATTGTGACCCCAAAATCAATAGGGATCTTCTACCCAATATGGTTGAACATCCTATGAAGCTTGAATATTGTGGGCCACATGGAACTTAAGTTATGCTCTGGAAACTGTTTTCAGTTTTAAGGTAATAGTCACCTTGACCTTTAACCTTGTGATCCCAAAATCAATAGGGGTCTTCTACCCAATATGGACAATTATCCTATGAAGTTTGAATATTGTAGGCCAAATGGCACTTAATCTATGCTCCGGAAACTGTTTTTAGTTTTAAAGTTATAGTGAAATATGATAAACAAGATCGACAAGGAAAGGCGGCACTCAATGAACGCAGCCCCCACCCGACCAGCAACAAGCGCCAGCGGCAAGGAGCCCAGGAGGACCCCAAAGAAAAACAGGACAGGGCACAAGGCAGAGTACGGGCAGGAAAACAAATTGACCTTTGACTTGTAACCCCAAAATCAATAGTGGTCCTTTACCCTATATTGACATCATCCTATGAAGTTTGAATGTTGTAGGCCAAATGGAACTTAAGTTATGCTCCGGAAACTGTTTTTAGTTTTAAAGAAATAGTGGCCTTGAACTTTGATCTTGTGACACAAAAATTAATAGGGGTCTTCTACCCAATATGGACAATCATCCTATGAAGTTTGAATATTGTTGGCCACATGGAACTTAAGTTATACTCTGGAAACTGTTTTCAGTTTTAAGGTAATAGTCACCTTGACCTTTAACCTTGTGACCCCAAAATCAATAGGGATCTTCTACCCAATATGGACAATCATCCTATGAAGTTTGAATATTGTGGGCCAAATGGCACTTAAGCTATGCTCTGGAAACTGTTTTTAGTTTAAAGTAATAGTGACCTTGAACTTTGACCTTGTTACCCAAAAATTGTTACGGGTCTTCTACCCAATATGGACAATCATCCTATGAAGTTTGAACACTGTGGGCCAAATGGAACTTAACTTATGTTCCGGAAACTGTTTTCAGTTTAAAGGTAATAGTGACCTTGACCTTATGACCCCAAAATCAATAGGGGTCTTCTACATAATATGGACAATCATCCTATGAAGTTTGAACACTGTGGCCCAAATGGAACTTAAGTCATGCTCCGGAAACTGTTTTCAGTTTTAAGGTGATAGTGACCTTGACCTTTGACCTTGTGACCCCAAACTCAATAGGGGTCTTCTACCCAACATGTACAATCATCCTATGAAGTTTGAATATTGTAGGCCAAATGGCACTTAATCTATGCTCCGGAAACTGTTTTTAGTTTTAAAGTTATAGTGAAATATGATAAACAAGATCGACAAGGAAAGGCGGCACTCAATGAACGCAGCCCCCACCCGACCAGCAACAAGCGCCAGCGGCAAGGAGCCCAGGAGGACCCCAAAGAAAAACAGGACAGGGCACAAGGCAGAGTACGGGCAGGAAAACAAATTGACCTTTGACCTTGTAACCCCAAAATCAATAGTGGTCCTTTACCCTATATTGACAATCATCCTATGAAGTTTGAATGTTGTAGGCCAAATGGAACTTAAGTTATGCTCCGGAAACTGTTTTTAGTTTTAAAGAAATAGTGGCCTTGAACTTTGATCTTGTGACACAAAAATTAATAGGGGTCTTCTACCCAATATGGACAATCATCCTATGAAGTTTGAATATTGTTGGCCACATGGAACTTAAGTTATACTCTGGAAACTGTTTTCAGTTTTAAGGTAATAGTCACCTTGACCTTTAACCTTGTGACCCCAAAATCAAAAGGGATCTTCTACCCAATATGAACAATCATCCTATGAAGTTTGAATATTGTGGGCCAAATGGCACTTAAGCTATGCTCTGGAAACTGTTTTTAGTTTTAAAGTAATAGTGACCTTGAACTTTGACCTTGTTACCCAAAAATTGTTACGGGTCTTCTACCCAATATGGACAATCATCCTATGAAGTTTGAACACTGTGGGCCAAATGGAACTTAACTTATGTTCCGGAAACTGTTTTCAGTTTAAAGGTAATAGTGACCTTTGACCTTATGACCCCAAAATCAATAGGGGTCTTCTACATAATATGGACAATCATCCTATGAAGTTTGAACACTGTGGCCCAAATGGAACTTAAGTCATGCTCCGGAAACTGTTTTCAGTTTTAAGGTGATAGTGACCTTGACCTTTGACCTTGTGACCCCAAACTCAATAGGGGTCTTCTACCCAACATGTACAATCATCCTATGAAGTTTGAATATTGTGGGCCAAATGGAACTTAAGTTATGCTCCGGAAACCAAATTGCTAACGGACAGACAGACAGATGGATGGACAGACGTACTTACAAAATGGTTCTTATGTGACGTCGTTTTTGACCCCAGGTGACCCATGGATGTTTAAACTTGACCTAGAAATCATTAAAACAAACTTTCAGACCAATTTCCAGAATATATGGATCAAAACAGTAGCCACTAGTGTTAACAAGATTTTTCTATTTTAGTTCCTGTGACATGGTTTGTGACTGGAGATCCCATATTTTTAGTTCCTGTGACATGGTTTGTGACTGGAGATGACCCATATGTGAACTTGACCTAGAAATCATCAAACTTCCAGATCAATTTCAAGGATATTATTTGGATAAAAACTGCAGCCACTAGAGTATTTAAACAAGGTTTTTCTATTTTTAGCTCCTGTAACCTAGTTTTTGACCAGAGACCACCCATATCCGAACTTAACCCAGAAATCATCAAAACAACCTTCCTGACTAATTTCCAGATTATTTGGATCAAAACAGCAGCCACTATAGTGTTAACAAGATTTTCTCTATTTTTAGCTCATGTGACCTAGATGATTCTAACTTGACCTGTATTTCATTGAGACAAACATTCTGACAAAGATTGATTATGATCCAATCAAAACTGTGAATGCTAGTGTTAAAAACTCAAATGTTGACGACCCATCACGCACAACGACAGACATAGCCCGATCACTATACCTCACCTTGACCACTTGTGGTCAGGTGAGCTAAAAAGCAACAGCTTGAGTTTTTTTCTTTGAAAAAAAAGTTGAGCTAAAAATTAAAGCTTCAGCTCATCATTTCTCCACAATGAGATATATCCATCTACAATGTATTAAGTTTCACTAACATGTTGATATCTCCAGTTGGTCACAGGATAGACAGATGAACATTCTGACGCCAGTATACCAAACTTAGTTGTTCAGGGGTTATGGAAACATAATGATTCCAAGTGTGTTTAAGCACAACAGTGTTTATTCATTTAACATGTTGCAGATGTACTATTTAGCACTGAAATTGCACCTGTCAGAGTGTGAATAACAATAACTCTCAACATCTCTTAACATCGTTTCAGATATTGTAACAAACAATATTCAGCAGCCATCTTCATTATCAAATGGAAGTTTCAACAAAACTTTTGCAAAGTTTATGCACATGTTCCATCCAAATATGTTTCTGTCCCTCTAAGATGAATAGGAAAAATCTTCTTAACAACAATATCTGAAAATAAACAAAGAAATATTTTACTTTTTTCATTTTATAATTTGCAGTATTTAATAAGGCACTTCACATGATAATTTTAACTCTATTTAAATTCTGGGACATTGTTTGAGATATGTGATTGCCTTTCAAAGATATATGGCAAAATATTTAACAGAATATTCCAACTTATGATAATTTATTATATATATAGGTCTATATTAAGATTAGTTCATACTTATATCACTCTTACTTTTTGTGTAAGACTAAGTGAGAGGTTCGGCACAGGCATAAAATGATAAATTTGTTTATAGGGCGGCTAAGCCAAGTCAACGCGCCGAACACCTATGGACCACAGCAGATTTCGTACAGAAAATAATAAACTCACCAAAAACTACGTTTCCGTACGTCCCTAACTCTAATTATGTAAATGATAAGGGACAAACATACAACATGTAACAATGCTTACCTTCCTCATCATAAAAACTCCTTTTGAAGTTTATTATATATCCGACACAAAAGCTTTTCTTTCTACCATCCCGCCTACCGAATATGCCCTCTCCTGGCAATGACAGTTGATGACGCAAGAAAGTGGACGACTTCATTTTTCACGCACTTGAAGGGGTGTTCCGTCTAATTACAATGTGTTTACAACCGTTTAAATGATATTTCTTATAATTTAACATTTTAATTATTCACAACCGATAGATATGATAATTTAATTATTTTATAAAAGAATATTACTGTCACGAAAATTGTGGCTTATATACCAAGTACCTGACTCCCCCGTGTAAGCGTATCGACTTTACCGTTTCCGCCGAAACAGCGGGTGCCTGTGTATTGTAGTTTAATTACACGCAAAGCTGCTGTTAAACGGGTAAATAGACGTGATGTCATTTCAAAATTACTGTATACATGCGGGTTGTTTCTTCAAGACATGGTGAGTTAAATTTTGCTGACGATATTATGATTCTAATAACTTTTTAAATGTTGTAGAAATTTATTGCAAGCATGCTTAAAATTAGAATTTATATCTAAAACTTAAAAGAAACTCTATTTTATTATTTTTGTTAGTTGCCCAAATTTACATCGAGGGTGGTAAGTGCCTTGGTTTGCTTTAATGTAGCTATGATACTGGCTAAGCACTGGTAATATTAAAGACTTTCACAATCTTAATAGATATTATGTTGTCACCCATTACTAAAGAAAAGAGAAACTTGACATGAAATCAAAAACTGCACTGAGCAATATGATGATTTATTCATTTTTCTATTTATTTAAAAATTTTTTTAAACCTTCAGTGGCAGAAAAAGAAAAACGGAATACATTATTTATATTTTAAAACTTTACTAATTGTACTGTCGAATCTAACCATTAAAGTGAATTGGCCTACTTTGGAAGGCAGTGTAATACAACAAAAGTTGTTAAAGGGACTCCACTGGGTTTTTTTGACATGATGGGACTGAAAATATTTTTTTCCAGATAAATGTACTTTTGATGTAGGTTTATACCACTAATTTATGTGCAAAATTTCAGATCATTCGCACACTTCGTTTTTCCAGAATAATTATTCAAATTGTAAAAAATAACCCAAAATGAAAATTGTTTAAACACTTTTCGCTCAAATCGGGCTAAAAAAAGTATAAAAATACGATTTTCAATTTATTTCAAAATATATTTCTTAACTATCTTTGCATATATTTCTGTTTAAAGTGTCCCTAAGCTCATTTATTTAAGAAATTCAAGTGTAATATTTTTTGGCTTTTAAACCCTGGTGGAGTCCCTTTAATATTCAAATGGAAACAACAAGAAAAGGAAGTAATACTTCAGATTTTGTTACTGTTACATAATTTCTGTTGATAATAATATAATATTGTATACAGCTTTTTAAAGGAATCTTTAATATAACATTTGATTAATTTATCATTTGGAAGTGGCTAGCTGTACGGGCCCGTACGGCTAGCCAAAAGTTCTAGCCGTATGTGAGTCATGTACGGCTAGCCAGGACACACTGTATTGTCTGACTCACTTACAGCTAGAACATTTGGCTAGCCGTACGGGCTTGTATATCATTTTTACTTTGTGTATTTTGTAAAATTGATAATTTCTTCAATGTAATATCATTTTTAGCTCGACTTTTCTATGAAAAGGGGAGCTATCCTACTCGCCCCGGCGTCGGCGTCGGCGTCGGCGTTAGCGTTGGCGTCACACCTTGGTTAAGTTTTTCGTACCACCCCACTTTATTTCAGAAGTATTACAAGTATGGCTTTGAAACTTACCATACTTGTTCACCATCATAACCTCCATCTACAGACAAGAGTACATAACTCTGTCAAGGTTTTTGACAGAATTATGGCCCTTTTTTGACTTAGAAAGTGTATTGAGCTTGGTTAAGTTTTTTGTACCACCTCACTTTATTTCAAAACCATTGGAGGTATTGCTTTGAAACTGACCATACTTGTTTACCATCACGACCTTCATCAACAGACAAGAGGACATAACTCTGTCAAGGTTTTTGACAGAATTATGCCCCTTTTTGACTTAGAAAATACATTGAATATGGGTAAAATCCACTTATTGCCTTAACCCTTTGAGATATTGCTTTGAAACTTTTAATGCTATTTCACATCATTACCCCCATCTGTACGCAAGAGAAGGTAACTCTGTCAAGGATTTGTTTTAAAAATTAAGGCCTTTTATCGACTTAGAATCTTGGTTAAGTTTTTAGTACCAGTCCACTTTTGACTGAACTGTTTGAGATATTAATTTGAAAGTTGGAATACTTGTTTACAATCATGATTCCCAAACATGTCCAGGAGAAGGTAATTCTGTCAAAGATTTTATTTGAATTATGGCCCTTAACTGTCACTAAATATCTTAATGCTCATGGCCATTGTTCACTTTAAAAATACAGAGATTCTTGTATTGCCTTTTACTGCAAAAACTTTTTTTATTGGCAAGCAATAAAAAAGTCGAGCGCGCTGTCTTACGGACAGCTCTTGTTAGTTTTTATGTTGAAAATGGTAGAAATGAAAATATTTTATTGATATTATTATAATAACCAGGTAATTTTACTGAAAAACTAAATGGACGGTAGTAAATATTTTAACTAATTATACAAATAATTTGATCTACATTTTTTTATGAATAAATTATGAATAGTTTCTCATAATTTTAGAGAATTGGAATCTATGCGCTTGAAATTTAGGTTACCGGAAATTGTATGGAATATAATGATGTACTATGTATAAATAAAAAAGTCCTGTTCTGTCGGATAATAAAAAGTTAGACCTTTACTTTTTAAATTACAATATTTAGTAACCCTTAATTTTCAAACTGCTATTGACAATGACATATGAGCTATATGTAAATGGTAGGATGAAAAAATGTTTCTTTCTTGAAATCAAATAATTTTAATGAGCTGTATATATGCATATTAAACAATATGGCTTGTATTTTATGACTTTTCCAGAAGTCCATGGTGTAAGTTGCCAAAGGGTGATATACCAGCACCCAATCAGTTAAATAAACACTGACCAGCCAATAAACAACTTGACACTGATAGAATTGTCATATAATATTAAAACATCAACATTTAAGTGCAAAAGGAAGACTGTGTATTTTAAGTTTCAGAGTACCGGTACACCTAACTAGCAATGAAAATTAAAATATGTTTTTCTTGTGAATTGAATGCAAATTTTAAAGTGTTTAATTTACCTCTAGTTAGAAAATTATATATAATTATATTTAATAAAAACAAAAAAAAAACATAATTATATCAAAGATGTAATTCAGATCCGTGATTATAATTATGTATCTTTAAAATGAAAGAGTTTTCAATTTGAAGTTTAAACTTTGGACCATGATAGAATGTATTTAAGTGACCAATAGATGTTATAGGTGTTCAATGTAAATAGATAAAATGCCATAACTTGATTTGTACATTTGACTGCAGTGAAAACCCAGAATTAATTTTTTGCTAATCTGTGTATTTTGAAGATATTCCAGGTATAGTTATTAGTATGTACTGTTGTAGAAGAAATGCAGCAGATAAGTTGACACATTGACTTGGATTTAAAACCTGTTTTTAAAAATAAAACATAAAAAATCATGTAGTTATTAATTTTACTGTTACAGTAAAATTTTAAAGCAATTAGATAAACAAAATTAATTATCCATGAGAAAAAGGTTATATATAACAGAAAGTTACAAAAGGGAAGTTATTCTATAAAAGAGAAAAATATAGTATTATAAGATATTTACATTCATATTATTAACATATTTCTAATCAATATAGAATTATTTTAGCAACATTCAAACTGTTTATTCAAAACTAGATTTATATTTACAAATTCGAAAATGTAGCTAAACACCGAATTCCGGTACTTTATGTACACAGCTCTGGGGAATTCACCTAAAGGGCGTGCAGTAATTTGGTAACTAGTCTACCTGTATGTTTTTGGTATATTTTTGGATTAAAGTTTAATAAAACAATTATTTCTTTGTAAGAAAATAATTAAATATAACTGTATGAAAAACTCAATACAAAAAAATATAGTAAATACATAAATTTCTGCAGAAAATATCTCTAACCTAATTATGGCATATGCAACAACAACTGTTTTATTTTTATTATAAAATATTAATAAGCTTTTTTTGTGGAAAATTTGCGATAGATAGTACAGGAACATTAATAATTTTCAAACACATCAAGTTTTTCCAGGTGCCATAAACGGTGAAATAATAATTGAAAAAATGGAAATATCACATGTTAGTTGTGTTATAAATGTAATTCATTGGGTGTAATTCCCCAGAGCTAAATCCGTAACATACTAACATACCGGAAAACAGTGTTTAGCTAGGTTTTCGAAAAGAACAATTATGAATGAATATACCCCAAAAGATAAAAAATTCTTACAAAATATAATCAATATATGACTTTACCCTGGTCAATTGCTATGCAATAATCCATTGAACCAGTAAAGTGTCATCCTGTCTGGTGATTTTGTGTGCACCTCTATTTCAGGACTAGTGCACTAGAAAAGCACAAGGGTGGGAATTTTAAGCATTCAATAATCATTTTTAGCTTGACTATACGAAGTATATGGAGAGCTGTCCTACTCGCCCCGGCGTCCGCGTCCAGATTTCAGATTAAAGTTTTGGTGCAGTAAAATATTTTTCACTATAACTTTGTCATTTCTTAAAGTATCAACTTCAAACTTAAAATATATGTTCCTTATCATCAACCACATCTTATGTGACAAGGTTCATAACTCTAGCACCATTATTCAGATTTATCTCCCCTTGAACTTAGAATTTTCCTTAAAAAATACTATTTTTTACTGTTACTTCTTTATTTCTTAAGGGATCAACTTCATACATCAAATATATGTACTTTATCATTATCCCCATCTTATGTGACAAGGTTCATAACTCTAGCACCAATATTTTCAGATTTATCTCCCCTTGAACTTAGAATTTTCCTTAAAAAATACTATTTTTTACTGTTACTTATTTATTTCTAAAGGGATCAACTTCATACTTCAAATATATGTAACTTATCATCATTCACATCTTATGTGGCAAGGTTCATAACGCTAGCACTAATATTGCAAGAATTATCTCCCCATAAACTTAGATTTTTTTACTAGAAAAATGTTATTTTTTACTATAACTTTTTTAGTTTTAAAGGTATCTACCTCAAACTTCAAATACTTATTCCTTATCATCAATTACATTTTATGTGACAATGTTCGTAACTCTTGAAGCAATATTTACAGATTTATCTTTCTTTGAACTTAGGATTTTCTTTAAGAAATATTATAACTTCTTTACTTTTTAAGGTATCTACTTCAAACTTCAAATATATATTTCTTATCATTACACACATGTTGTGTGAAAGGTTCATAACTCTAGCATGACTTTTTCTAGAATAATTTCCCTTGATCTTGGAATTTATGTTAACAAATAATATTTTTTTACTTTAACTTAATACATAATTATACATAATTGGTTTGTCTTTCATAGTTTTGTCCTCCTTACTGCGTCCAGTATTTTATTAGTCGAGCTTGGCTGTCTCCTGTGACAGCTCTTGTTTTTACTTTTCTATTATTTTTAAATACTACATGTTAATTAGATAGTTGGCATCTGATTATAGTGTAATGGCTTTTAGACTAGAAATGCTAAATTCTTGTTACTTAAACATTACAGGGTTTAATCCAGTAAACTACTTGTAAGCAAGATAAACAGGTACAGAATATGAAAGAGAAGACTGGTGATGATAACAAGACAAAAAAAGAAAATGTAAGTAGCTTCACTTTGGTTTTACGGCACACCTACAAAGTAAAGGTGATATGGCGACATTCCAGCTTTACTCGGTGCATTATTTCAGGCACAAATGGGCACCTCAGTAGAACCACCGAAGTTCTGTAAGCTAGCTGGATTTTTATTATAAGCTTCCTCACAACGTTCCTGTTGGGATTCGAACCCACAGTGGTGACGGGGCAATTGGTTTGAAGTCAACGACCATACATAAATATCTACATGAAATTCTGGTTACTTCTGAACAGACATTTCGTGCCTGGGACATTACTCCTGCATGCATGAAAGAATTAAAAAAAAAAAGTTAATGCAGCCACCTAGCCTGGGTTCCAGTCTGTTTTTAGCTCACCTGTCACAAAGTGATAGGGTGAGCTTTTGTGATCGCTTTTCGTCCGGCGTCCGTCCGGCGTCCGTCCGTCCGGCGTCCGTCCGTAAACTTTTACTTTAAATGACATCTCCTCATAAACCACTAAGCCAATTTCATCCAAACTTCACAGGAATGTTCCTTTGGCGGTCACCTTTAAAAATTGTTCAAAGAATTTAATTCCATGCAGAACTCTGGTTGCCATGGCAACCGAAAGAAAAAACTTTAAATATCTTCTTTTAAAAAACCATAAGAGCTAGAGCTTAGATATTTGGCATAGAACATCTTCTAGTGAGTGTCTACCAAGTTTGTTCAAATAAAAGCCCTGGGGTCAAAATTGGCCCCGCCCCGGGGGGTCATTGATTTTCTCTATATGCATATAGTAAAAACTTAAAAAATCTTCTTTTAAAGAACCCAAAGAGCTAGAGCTAAGATATTTAGCATGAAATATGTTCTAATGGGTGTCTACCAAGTTTGTTCAAATAAAAGCCCTGGGGTCAAAATTGGCCCTGCCCCGGGGGGTCATTGATTTTCCCTATAAGCATATAGTAAAAACTTACAAAATCTTCTTTTAAAGAACTCAAAGAGCTATGGCTAAGATATTGAGCATCAAACATGTTCTAATAGGTGTCTACCAAGTTTGTTCAAATAAAAGCCCTGGGGTCAAAATTGGCCCCGCCCCAGGGGGTCATGGATTTTCTCTATATGCATATAGTAAAAACTTAAAAAATCTTCTTTTAAAGAACCAAAAGAGTTAGAGCTAAGATATTTATCATGAAACATGTTCTAATAAGTGTCTACCAAGTTTGTTCAATTAAAAGCCCTGGGGTCAAAATTGGCCCCGCCCCGGGGGGTCATTGATTTTCCCTATATGCATATAGTAAAAACTTACAAAATCTTCTTTTAAAGAACTCAAAGAGCTATGGCTAAGATATTTAGCATCAAACATGTTCTAATAGGTGTCTACCAAATTTGTTCAAATAAAAGCCCTGGGGTCAAAATTGGCACCGCCCCGGGGGTCATTGATTTTCCTTATATGTGTATAGCAAAAACTTAAACTTCTTTGAAAAAACCCAAATAGCTAGAGTTTAGATATTAAGCATGAAACATCTTCTAGTAAGTGCCTACAAAGTTTGTTCAAATAAAAGCCCTGGCCCGGCCCCAGGGGTGTCATTGTTGTTAACTATATGTGTATAGTAAAAACTTAAAAAAAATCTTCTTTGAAAAAAACCCAAATAGCTAGAGTTAAGATATTAAGCATGAAACATCTTTTAGTGATAGTCTACAAAGTTTGTTAAAAAAAAAAGACCTGGGGTCAAAATTAGCCCCGCCCCGGGGGTCATTGATTTTCTTTATATGTGTAAAGCAAAAACTTAAACTTCTTTGAAAAAACCCAAATAGCTAGAGTTTAGATATTAAGCATGAAACATCTTCTAGTAAGTGTCTACAAAGTTTGTTCAAATAAAAGCCCTGGCCCGGCCCCAGGGGTGTCATTGTTTTTAACTATATGTGTATAGTAAAAACTTTAAAAAAATCTTCTTTAAAAAGCCCAATGAGCTAGAGCTTAGATGTTTAGCATGAAACATCTTATGGGTGTCTACCAAGTTTGTGCAAATAAAAAGCCCTTGGGTTAAATTTGCCCTGTTGGGGGGGGGGGGGTTTGGGGGGCCTATATACAGGTGAGCGACCTCAGGGCCATCATGGCCCTCTTGTTTTATGTGCTTCTGTTCGTCAAATTGACAGCCTGGGGAAATACAAATTTAGATTGAAGCGCCACCTACTATTCACCTGAAAATTATGGGTGTGATTTAAAGAACGATAACTCCTGCAACTACAAACTAGTTTCTAAAAATAGAAAAGAAATTTACCCTAAGTGACTGGAAACTCAACAAAAGTCATGGAGCCTCGCTTCCATAATCCCATTTCCGATTAGAAATTGACAGTTTTGACACTAGTTGTTTATTGCATGATGAGCTAAGTTGATCAACATGTTAGATTAGCCAAAAACAAATTCTGTGTGGATGAAGTCTGAGAGCATCAGAGAAATGTGCTGAACGTAATTTATTTATAATGGTAAATGCCATGGCGTTGGATTTTCACCATTCAGCATCCTTGCCTTGATTTTGATTTAGTCATGTGACTTGTGGGTCATGTGCTAATCAGTCTTTTAATAGGATTATCATTAGTCGATTATTACATGGAAAACCCCGCAAGTTCCCCCAGGCATTGATATTATAAAAAAATCGAACGAGTATGAAATCGCTCATATATGTTATGAATAAGCAAAAATTGTTAACACCTGAATCCCAGGCTAGCAGCCACCATTAGTAGGTTATGTATTTTGTGCAATACCAAAGTCCCTTAGTCAAAAGTTACAGCAAGTGTTACAAATACAGTCTTATCTAGTGTGGTTGGTTAACTGTTGCATACATGATTGTATTTCATTATTATTATTTACCTGTACACATAACTGCCAATAATTTGTCACATGCAAGAACACTGTCACTAGGTAAAGGCCACACAAGTGATTAATCTTAGTTTATTTTTCATTATTTACCCAGGATTTGTAACAACAAAATCTAACGTATACACAAAGATAAGAATAATATAATATATAACTAAGAATTTATAAAATTCTTAACATACAACAAATGGTGCTAATTTAAAACATTTGGTTGGTGTTTTTTTAAGACATGTATCTGTATTTTTTTCGAAGTCCCAAAATTTTAAAAGGAATATAAATTATTATATGAATTAAGTGATAGATACATGCAAATAATGAAATGATAGAATTCTGATTTATTTTCAGATGTTGTTGTTGTCAAGAAGATTTTTTCCTGTTCCTCGCAGAAGGGCAGAAACATACTTGGATGGAAAATGTGCATAATTTTTGCATAAGTTTTGTTGACACTTCCAATTGATAATGAAGAATGCTGCGAAATATTGTTTGTTACAATATCTGAATGACTGTAAGATATGTTGAGTGATTGGTATTCACACAGGTGCTGTTTTAGTGCAAAACAATACAAGCAAATGTTGAATGAACAAACAAGATTGTGCCATACCATAAGGGAGCAGTATGTTCAGGATATTCTATTTGTATAAACCCAACGCAACTACAGATGTAATGTGGATATATACTAGAATCAGATTGTCTGTCTGTCTGTTTGTCTACCCATTGGAGATATTGAATTAACTTAATAGATAGATCATGTATGTTATTGTTGTGGAATGTAGTTCCTAGCAACTATATCTCTATTGCCTGTTGCAATTTGGAAAGAAGATTGTGTTTAATAGATGAAACTGGCTAGGTGTTACTATTTCAGCATTTTAAGTATGATGTTAGATCATATTACATGTACGTCAATTTTTATATGCCCATTTGAAAAACAAGACATACAATGGGAACCTCAGGTTGGCAGGCATTGTCAAATTATGTAAGCATTATATTTTGGATGTCACAAACCAAAATCAAGGAGTAAATGACTTCCAAACTTCCACTAACAGAAGCCCTGCCCATGCAGGGTTTTAATGAAACTATCACCTGATTAAAGGTCAAGGTCACACTTAGAGATCATTGATAAATGCTTGTTAGGAGCAAAACGTGTGTCAATATCACTTCCCAAATTAATGTTCAACATTGTTAGGCGTAGCATCACATGCTAAAGGTCAAGGTCACATACAGAGGTTAAAGTTCAGATAGAAGTAGGAACCATTAAGTCATCATTTGTTGAGGGATTGTAACACATATGGTCATTATTATGACTATGCCTGTGACACAGTCATGTATGCAAATTTGTTCATTTATAATATGCAAGGTCTTGAAGGCCAGTAAAGATAATGAAATATCCAGATTTTCTCTGGAGCATCTAAATTCTTCTACATGCATGGAAAAATTTCTTTTCATTTATGAAATGAAATTTAAAACAAACATTTTGTTCGATCAATCGAACAAAATATATATTTGTTCGATCGATCGAACAAAATGTTTAATTGTTTTGTACAGCTTGAGAGAGAATTTTTCCAATACAGTGTTTTTGAACAGTTTTGTTCGATCGATCGAACAAAATGTTTATTTTAATTTTTCATTTATTTAACCTGTTACCACTTTTGGAAATGAAAAGAAATTTTGTTCGATCGATTGAACAAATATATATTTTGTTCGATCGATCGAACAAAATGTTTGTTTTAAATTTAATTTCATCAATGAAAAGAAATTTTGTTTGATCGATCGAACAAATAAGTAATAAGAAGTTTGTCCTTTTTGTTCGATCGATCGAACAAATATAAATTTTGTTCGATCGATCAAACAAATATAAATTTTGTTCGATCGATCGAACAAAATCTTTGTTTTAAATTTGTCATTTATTTAACCAGCTTTGGAAATGAAAAAAAATTTTGTTTGATCGATCGAACAAAATATATATTTGTTCGATCGATAGAACAAAATGTTTAATTGTTTTTGTACAGTTTGAGAGAGAAATTTTCCAATGCAGTGTTTGAACAGTTTTGTTTGATTGATCGAACAAAATCTTTATTTTAAATTTTTCATTTATTTAACAACTTTTGGAAATGAAAAGAAATTTTGTTCGATCAATCAAACAAAATATATATTTGTTCGATCGATCGAACAAAATGTTTAATTGTTTTGTACAGCTTGAGAGAGAAATTTTCCAATACGGTGTTTTTGAACAGTTTTGTTCGATTGATCGAACAAAATATATATTTGTTCGATCGATCGAACAAAATGTTTAATTGTTTTTGTACAGTTTGAGAGAGAAATTTTCCAATGCAGTGTTTGAACAGTTTTGTTCGATCGATCGAACAAAATCTTTATTTTAAATTTTTCATTTATTTAACAACTTTTGGAAATGAAAAGAAATTTTGTTCGATCGATCGAACAAATATATATTTTGTTCGATCGATCGAACAAAAATCTTTATTTTAAATTTTTCATTTATTTAACCACTTTTGGAAACGAAAAGAAATTTTGTTTGATTGATCGAACCAAATATATTTTTGTTCGATCGATCGAACAAAATGTTTAATTGTTTTTGTACAGTTTGAGAGAGAAATTTTCCAATACAGCGTTTGAACATTTTTGTTCGATCGATCGAACAAAATGTTTGTTTTAAATTTCATTTGCTAAATGAAAAGAAATTTTGTTCGAACAAATTAAGTAATGAGAAGTTTGCCATTTTTGTTCGATCGATCGAACAAAATGTTTGTTATATGTATTTATTCAATGTTTTTTAGTCAAATTTTCAATTAAATTGATGAAAAAAGAGTCACTTGTTCTTTTTTGTATTCACCATTTGTGAAAAATAACTACAATATTTACACACAAAAACCCTGTTTTTAGGCTAAAAAGAGGGACTGATTGGACAATCCCTTTTTATTTTGGAACGAGATATACGTTTGCGCTGAAAGTTTCTAAAAAAAACGGGTGCGACAATTGGCACTGTGTTCGAACCGTAGGTCCGATTCGCATGCAATTTGCACTGTTGGAATTGATGAAGGGTCTGGTACACAGCCTGCAAGTTTCATGGCCGTAGCCCAGATACAAGTCCGGCACCAAGTCGGAATGCAATTAGACCTATTTCGCTTCGTTTTTGTTTTTTTATATACGTTTGCGCTGAAAGTTTCTAAAAAAAACGGGTGCGACAATTGGCACTGTGTTCGAACCGTAGGTCCGATTCGCATGCAATTTGCACTGTTGGAATTGATGAAGGGTCTGGTACACAGCCTGCAAGTTTCATGGCCGTAGCCCAGATACAAGTCCGGCACCAAGTCGGAATGCAATTAGACCTATTTCGCTTCGTTTTTGTTTTTTTATATACGTTTGCGCTGAAAGTTTCTAAAAAAAACGGGTGCGACAATTGGCACTGTGTTCGAACCGTAGGTCCGATTCGCATGCAATTTGCACTGTTGGAATTGATGAAGGGTCTGGTACACAGCCTGCAAGTTTCATGGCCGTAGCCCAGATACAAGTCCGGCACCAAGTCGGAATGCAATTAGACCTATTTCGCTTCGTTTTTGTTTTTTTATATACGTTTGCGCTGAAAGTTTCTAAAAAAAACGGGTGCGACAATTGGCACTGTGTTCGAACCGTAGGTCCGATTCGCATGCAATTTGCACTGTTGGAATTGGAAGAGGGTCTAGTACACAGCCTGCAAGTTTCATGGCCGTAGCCCAGATACAAGTCCGGCACCAAGTCGGAATGCAATTAGACCTATTTCGCTTCGTTTTTGTTTTTTTAT